ATATTTAGTCATGTAACTAATACTTATTAAACTTAATTTTAGCATGATTTAGTACTTTTAAATTATGATCATTTTCATTCTGACTTGTTAATTTGCAATATTTGTTTTACGCGATTTCATTATTATTATTTTTGTTGGATATTTTAGTGTCATTAATCATATCATATTGTGTTATATTTTTAAGAAACATCTTAGATAGTTGTATTTTGGTAGGACTAAAGAAATATTTGAAGTACAAGTAAATTATATGTTGTGTATGAATACTTTACCGGAAAAACCCGAAAAACCGAAAAACCCGAGGTTGAAAAACCCGAGTTTTATTGGTTTGGTTTGGTTCATAAATTTAAAAATCCGACACAAATGGTTTGGTTTGATATTTGAAAAACCCGAACCAACCCGGCCGTGTACACCCCTAGACTTCCACCAATGTTATGAAGGCATTATAAATGTCCTAATCTTGCTGGAAAATCACAAGCGCAAGTTAAAATTTTATTTTTATGAATTTTAAATTTTATAATAATGATTTAAAGTGTTAATAACTAAATTTTAAATATTTAATATTTATATATTCAATAAATTTTTAATACATATACATTATTTGAACAAAAATTATTACTAAATTTAGGTAAATCCATATCAAAACTTCTAGCTCCTTCCACAAAGAAAACATAAATTGTCCAAAAATAAAAATGGAAGTCTATTTCTTCTCAACTTACAAAGAGCACCCAAAAAGGAATTTGAAAACATTAATTAATTTTAAAGATAACAATTCAGTACACAAAACAAATTAAGAAAATTTGGAATTTGAAGGGCTATTTTTTTACTTCAAAATGTAGGCTTCCTACTCCATTTAAAAAATTTGAACTTAATCTTCGTGGACTTCTTTTCTTCTTCCAACATTTTTTTTTCTTCTCTTTTCGTCAATTATCTAGATGATTTGGATAAATAAGAAAAAAATACTTTAAACTAAAATATTTTAATTCAAAATAGACCAGGTTGCAAATAAGGACGACATGATACTAGATTGAAATCTCATTTGATTCTTTTGGCCAATCGAGACGATATGTTATTGTAAATTGAGAGTTTCACATGTAACTTTATCTTTATTACTGAATTATACATATGAAATTATTTGACTTCTTTATATTTAATTTGTTATATTATGTGTGAAGTGTTTATAAAGATAAATAATTATGTCATCAATTTTTTATTAGCGCCAAATTGTTATAACTATTTCATCTTTGTTTGTTCGATCCATTTATCTATATAAATCAAAGAGACAAATTCATGAATCAAAGTCAAAGCTGATCAAATGGATCAAATATTTTTTATTTGAATATTTTCTAAAAACAACATATCTACCTTCAAATACGATATAATACCCCTAACCTCCCAATTTTGAGTCCCTCTTTGATCTCCTGCCTCTACATTTATTTATTAATCATATATATATAAACTTACACAATATGTTCTCATAACATAATCCCCACACACTAGGACAGTTTAAAACCGAATTGAAACTGATAATCCGAACCAAAAAAAAGTTATTGGTTTATGAGTATTGGGTTATTGGCTTAGCGGTTTTGATAACAGTTTTGATTTTTTGTTATCGGGTTATCGATTCTTAATGATTTGAGGTTTTTTCTTAACGGATTAACCGATAACCCGATAGTAAATTAAATAATTATATTTATACCATTTTGTATATAAAGTCTTTGACTTAGAGTTTGATTTTCTACTTTTATTTCTAATTGTCTCAAACACTTGGTTATTCTACAATGTAAAAATGTTTGCTTTTGAGCAAGATGTAACTTGTGAACTCATGTGCATAGTTCATTTCGTTTGTCACTTTGTTTCTAAGTGATTTTCAATGTTTTTTTTAAAATGTCAAATCTTAACGGTTAAACCGATAACCGACCCGATAAAAATCAAAAACCGAGATAAACCAATAATCGATAAGTCAATATCTTAATGGTTCTATAACGGTTTAACATCTCTATAAACCGATAACCAATAAGCCAAATCGATAAAGTTTAAAATCAAATCGAACCAATCGATACACAACCCTACCACCACGACATTAATTTTCAAAGATTAGTTTCACAATAGTGGACCAAAACAAGATTCAAATGCCACCGTAATTAAAGGAAAAAATGTTGAAAATATTGGATGAATTTGTTGGACATGTCTGTGAGTTATCACATGCGTTGGGCTGTCAATATTTCAATTCAGTGTCCCATCCAAAACAACATTTTTCATTGGTTCCTCCTTTCCACTTTGATTCACAGTATTTTATAACTAGATACGAGTGCCCGCACAATGTTTACTCTTCTGTCCCAATTTATGTGACACATTTTAGATTTTGAGATTCAAATAAGTCTATTTTTAACCATAATTTTTTCATATATCTTTTAATTATTTTGAACTATCAATTATTGAGACTTATAGTACTTTTTATGTAGTTCACAAATATATAAATTTCATTTTTTAAATTTTTTTTGAAGATTCCATGAATAAATCTCGGTCAAACTTAAACTGTTTGACTCTCGAAAAACGAAATGTGTCACATAAATTGGGACAGAGGGAGTATTTGTTTTGTGTCATTTGATGTGACATAGATAAAATTTAAAGAGTAAATTAAATTTTGATATAATTTTTAAATATTTTAAATTGTTAATTATAGTAATTTTTACCTAATTTTTAAATAATATATATTACTTTCCTTGTCTCCATATATATATTATATATATATATATATA